TGCTGGTAATATACTTTGAGAGATAATTTAGGAAGCACGGTCCTATAAAAAGTCCTATAAGAATGATGGTCAGGGCTCCAACAATTGCTGAGATAAGTGTTGTTAGCCAAGGTGACCATGAGAAGAAGTTTTGATACCAATTATCTCCACTTTCTCTTTGTTGTTCTCTTTCTCTCAATTGTTTTCAAACCAGTGCTACACTGTTCCTAAACACACACCTGAGTGGTTAGCATAGAAACAGCAAGTTTCTCCCAAGGCCATGCATAACCCTCCTTGTTCTAGAAATAGAAGATCTAAGCCCCTTTGATTTTGTAGGGCTACCTCAGGCAAAGAGTCTAGTGAAGATTCAAGATGAGTTATAGATTTCTCTAACTCTGCTAGGCTACCACCCACCTGTCTGCTTAGGATCTTGAAATTTTGTTGACTGGTGGCCAGGGGCAATGTTCCAACTGCAGTGGAGTCTGCAATCCCTAATCCAACCAGCAGAGGGACCAGTACTGGGGCTCTCTTCTCTCTGCAGAGTGATCCCAGATGTTCCCTTCCACTTTCCCCAAAATAATAGCACACCTGAGGTATTACATGTACTAGTACACACAGTTCTGTCTGATTGGACTTATTGAGTCCCACATTTGAAAGGAAAGGAGTTGCCAGCACCATGGCTCAATAGGCTAATCCTCTGCCTTGTAGCGCTGGCACACTGGGTTCTAGGCCTGGTCGGGGCTCCGGATTCTGTCCCGGTTGCCCTTCTTCCAGGCCAGCTCTCTGCTGTGGCCCAGGAGTGCAGTGGAGGATGGCCCAAGTGCTTGGGCCCTGCACCCCATGGGAGACCAGGAGAAGCACCTGGCTCCTGCCTTCGGATTAGCACGGTGCGCCAGGTGCAGCGTGCTGGCTGCAGCGACCATTGGAGGGTGAACCAACAGCAAAGGAAGACCTTTCTCTCTGTCTGTCTCTCTCTTCACTGTCCACTCTGCCTGTCCAAAAAAAAGAAAAAAACACAATGTGGTTTCACTTCACCCCAGTTAGAATCACACACACACACACACACACACACACACAAACAATAAATGTTAGTGAGAATGTGAGGAGAAAAGTTCACTAATACACATTTGGTGGCAATATAATTTATACAACCATCACTAGAGAGAGTGTAGAGATTCCTCTACAATCTGAGAAAGATCTACAATATGACCTAGCCATCCCACTCCTGGGAATGTATGCAAAGGAAGTGAAATCAGCATAATTGAGTTATCTGTGTCCCCATGTTTACTGCAGCTCAGTTCACAATAACTAAGATTTGGAATCAACCCAGATGCCAATCAACTGATAACTGAATAAAGAAATAATGTCTTTTGCCATAAAATGGATGCACCTGGAAACCATTATGATCAGCCTCAAAAAATACAAACATCCTGATTTCCACGATATGTGGTTACTAATATATAGCGTCCAAAAATGCTATGTATAGGAGTGAAATTAACATTTCAGATTATTGTGTATAGCTCTTTCTATACTCTTCAGGAACAGTAAGTTTCCTTCTATTATTTGTTGAATCCTTTACTTTGTGGAGGGTTAAGCTTGTGATTATAACATAAACTGAAAGTATGTCCTTGTAAAAATTAAACTAATAATGAAGGAGGGAGGAAGCTATGAGCCTGGGCAGGAGAGAGGTTAGGATAGATCACTATGCTCCAAAATCTGAATATATGAAATGCACAAAATTTATTCCCCTTATATAAATAAAATGTAAAATCAGTAAATAAATCAAAAGGAAATAAAGATAACAATTCAATTTCAAAATCATAAAAGGGAATAAAATACTTAGAAATAAACTTAACCAAGGAAATAAAATATCTAAATGTTAAAAACTATGTCACACAAATAAATGTAAATATATCCTGTGTTCATGGATTATAAAATATATAATATAAGAAATCAATATGATCCTAGTGATCCTTAGATTCAAATAATTCTTTATAGTATCCTAATAGTTATTTTTAGAAAAAAAATTTAAAAAATTATACAGAAAATTCATATGGAATGTCAAAGGATCTAAATAGCCCAAATATCTTGAAGAGTTTCCCCTATGCTCTTGATTAATTTGATGGTGTCGTGGCATAGATTTAGATCTTTAATGCATGTTGAGTGGATTTTTGGTCTTGTTTCATACTTCAACAAGTGATTTAATTCCATATTTCTTGTTTGATACTGCCCTAATTCAAATTAATTGAATACATACTTAAAGAAATACTTCATTTTTGTTACATGAAACAATTTAAAAGATGTATTAATCATCAATTTAAGATAAAGTATTGCCTCCTAATCACTCCACTTAGAATGACAAAATGCCAATATACTTATTTCCAGATTATGTTTGTCTTAATAAACTCCTTCCAAAGATCATATTATTAGTTGCAATACTAATTTAACACCCCTTAACCTTATACACCAAAAAAGATGATGTTTTGAGTTTATTTTTATTGACAATAATTATATATACCTATTGGCTACAGTGTGAAATTTTAATTGATGCATGCAATGTGTACTGAACAAAGCATGGTAAACAACATTTTCCCTTCTCTGTAATTACACTTCATGATCACAGCCTTTGAGCACCTTTCCTGTTTGCTTTTAAAATATAGAATAGAGTATATGGTCTATAGTCACACAACCATGCTATGTAACACTAGGAACTCACCCCTACCATCCAACTCATCTATCATCTAACTACTCCAAAAAGAGAGGAGCCCTCCAAGTAGTTTTTAAAAATTATGTAATTAATTAGTTTTAAAGAAAAAGAGACACATAGAGAAACAGAGAGGGAGAGAGAACACTCTCACCCACTGGTTCACTTCACAAATGCCTACAACAACTATGGTTGTGACAGACCTCAACAATGATTTAGGAATAACATCAAAAGCACAGGTGACAAAAGAAAAATAAAGAAGTAGGACTGCAAAAAACATAAAAAAAAACTGTGTACTAAAGGGAAAGCTGAAAAGTGAAAGCAAGGAATAGGAGAAAATATTGGTAAACCATTGTATGATTAAAAGAATAATACAAAGAACTTACACAACTCAAAGGGAAATACTGTAATAAAAATGGACAAAGGATCTGATCAGTTTTTCCACAAGCAGCCAATAGGTATTTTAAAAGGGGCTCTCAGCACTGCCAATCAAGAGTACAATGGTTATGATCTCACATATGTAAAAATGGCTATTATCAAAAAGTAGAAACTATAAGTACTGAACCAGAATTGGAGAAAGGGAACAGATAAATTCTTTTTGGGAATGTAACCTGATATACTTACAATGAAATACACTACAGAGATGCCTCAAACAAAATTAAAAATGGAACTAATAAATGATAAAGCGGTCCCATAGTTGGATGCATATCTAAATAAAATTAATATCTCAAAGACACATCTGCACATCCATGTTCATGTGAGCACTAATCACAAGAACTAGATATATAAATACATTGTCTATCAAAATGAATAGAGAAAATGCCACACACTCACACACACACACACACACAAATCACATTCAACCTTAAAAAAGAAATCCTGACATTTTGTCATAACCTGGATTCAAAAGTATGAATGTGGACATTAAGTTGATTGAAGTATGACACAGAAAGATAAATATCTCACACTTTCCCTTATTTGTGGAACCTAATAAAATCAAATTTAATAACAGATCATAGTAATGTGGTTTCCAGGGGCTGAGAGTGAAGGAAATGGTAAGATGTTAGTTGAATGACACCCATTTATCACTAGGAGATAAATTAACTCCTTGAGACATAATACACAGCACAGAATCAAAATGAATACACTACTGGGTACTCACACTTGTAAAGATATTAATTATTCTTTTAAAAACTGTGTAAGGTGAAGGACTTGTTAGGTTGATTGTCCTAGTCATTTCATAATGTACATGCACAAGGGAACTCCAAAAGATTTGTGAAAAACTAGATTAAAAGATAAAGGGAATTTTCCATAAACTTTTAAAAAAGTCCCCTCACAAATCAAAATATCAGGTTGCAGGCCTCGAATACATACAAATTTTGTTTGTCAATTATACTCCAATAACCTTGAAAAAATCACCCTACATCAAAATTAAAATTAACTTAGGAAACTAGATTGATATCTTTGTGGTTGGAAAGACATGGTGGAATAGAAACAGTTTTAAAACACTCGTAAATGTGGCTACCTAAAATTTCCAACTTTAAGTACAGAGACACATCGCAGTCTGTCTAGCGAACATATAAATGCTAAGATGACATCGAGGTAGCAAAATACAACGTCCTCGTGACCCCCTAAAACCTAGACTAAAACCCTGACTGAAATAAAGCTGCTTTGGTTAACTGACCTGGTCTGTGCCTGTGTGATGGCTCTGAGCAGAAACGGGACAGGATGCATGGAATCGCGGGTGCCAGTCCAGCCCCCATACTGCAATCCAGCCCCCATGCTGGCTCCACACTGAGGGAAGGGTCGTGCTGTGAGCAGGAATGGGACAGGAAGCCTGGAGTCCCGGGTGCCAGTCCAGCCCCCATCCTGGCCCCACACTGAGGGCAGGGTCGAGCTGTGAGCAGGAATGGGACAGGATGCCTGGAGTCCCTGGTGCCAGTCCAGCCCCCATCCTGGCCCCACACTGAGGGCAGGGTCGAGCTGTGAGCAGGAATGGGACAGGATGCCTGGAGTCCCTGGTGCCAGTCCAGCCCCCATCCTGCAGACCAGCCCCCACACTGGCCCCACACTGAGGGCAGTGTCGTGCTGTGAGCAGGAACAGGACAGGACACCTGGAGTCCTGGGTGCCAGTCCAGCCCCCATCCTGCAGTCCAGCCTCCACACTGGCCCCACACAGAGGGAAGAGTCATGCCAGTAACAGAGGGCCCACAGACCCCAGAGCCGACCTCTGGGAAGCCCACATCCCACCAGCCTTTTCTAGCAACGTTCACCTGCTCCCCTTCCCTGCTCCTCAGACCTGGCCCCACACACTCACCATGTCCCGGGTCCGAGGGGGTGGTGTCCTGCGATGGAAGAGGGGCAGAGAACAGACAGAGCAGCGGACGCCGGCTACCTGCAGTTTTCCGAGTGCTGGAGCCCCCTCCTGGGCCCTCTCTCCTCAGTGGAACGGGAGGACTACTATGGCGTCAACATCCCGCGTGATTTGATTGCACAGCTTGCATACCAGGGGCAACATCACTCCATAAAAGACGCAGCCAATCAACATCCTCCATAGCACTGACTTACAACTTCAGGTCTTTCTGGATGGGAAAACAAGAGGGAGTTTGGATTCATTTCTGACACTAGGACCTCCTGGGCTCCACCTCCCTGCGGTGGGCGCGGGGAAATTCTCTCTTCTCTTCTCTGGTCCTGCCAGCCGCTGGATCCCTCCTGCATCTTCCTGAGTGGCTTCTGCTTGGGGGTTGAATGTAATTCAGGTCAGCTACAATTTAATGGCTGTTTATTGACTTAAGAGCCTTTGTTTTTTTATCATATATGTGACACTTTTCGTCTAATGAATCTTCTATGCTATTTTTAATATTGATTTAAAGAATGTTTACGTATATAACGTAATTTAATCCTTTTTTCCAATTTTACTTGCACATTTATTTCTAGTTTGCCTGTTGTCCTTTAATATTATTTTCTATTTGCTTCTTCCTGGTACTTAGTAGAAACACACACACACACACACACACACACACACACACACACACACAATCTTTCCAGTAATCTCATTTATCAATTGTATTTGTTTTTAGTTTTTCCTGGATTATCTCTGTATATAAACCTCATCCAATATATTCACATTTTACAACTTATAAATTGATCTTTACACCATATAATTTCTTCTTGCTGTTTTATTTCCCTTACTGCCCTTGAAGTAGAAAGCTCGAGAGAGTGCAGGAATCGTGGTCTAAGTTTACTCCCAGGGAGAAAAAGCTTCAACGATGCTGTATTACTTGTGTTGTTGGCTGTAGGTTCATTTCGCTCTTGATCAGAGTAGCGAAGTCACTGGCTTTTTTGTTGTTCTGCAGGCAGTTTTCTTTTTCACTAGATGCTGAACTTTATTAAAGCCTTCCAACATCTAATCTAAATGACCATGTGATTTTCTTCTTGTGTTTTTTACCTACTTGGATGACTTGTCTGAGAATCTTTACCACTCTTGTGTGTTTTATTAAGTCCTGCTTGCTATTGATATATTTTTATGTTATTTCATTTATTATATTAGTACTTTGCTGCAGATATCTGTAGCTATGTTTATGAAAGGGATGCTTTTAATAAAACTTAATGTTTATTTCAAGTCCTGGTCTGCTTGCATCATCCTCACTGCAATGCAGGTGTTCCAAAAGAAACCAAGAAAAAAGCTCTACTTATTTGCACTTTGGGTGAAATGTAGATTTGTTTTTCCTTCTCTAAAATTTTGGAGTATTCTGTAATTCTGGATCTGAAATTTTGATTCTGTGACTTTTTTCTTGATTGGTTGTTTGGAATTTTCAAAATATGATTTAACTTACCTGATTTATATAGTTTTCCTACTTTATGTTATATTTGTTTTTTTGCAAATTTGATTTTCAATATAGGGAAGATTTTGATTCCTGTAGTGAAATGTTACTTCTAAGAATTTCATACCTTTCTCCTAGCGCCTTGGTCAAAATTATAACCTACAAAGGAATGATTCTGTTTTAATTCCTAAACTGGTTATTTGTGTTACTTTCCCCATTGGTTCCTTAATCGTTTTTCCTAATGGTTTATTAACTTTGTTAATATTTTTCTTAAAAAAAGTCATTGTGTCCTTGTTTATTTGTGATACATTTTATAGCACTTCATAGATGTCTGCTGTTTTCTTTTTTCTTGCTTTTCTTCAATACTTTTTGATTTTTTTCTTTATAATTCTTAACAAGGAAGCTGTAATGATGATTTTGAGTATTTTATTCTATTGTAATCATTTGACTATAAATTATTTCTGAGCACTCATTTACTGCATCCTCAGTGTTCCTTCAGGTATTTCTAACACCTGTGTGTGCAAGCCGTGTCTGTCTCCCAGTATCCCTAATTCCATGTACCTGCAGCCATCACAGGTTACATGTGTCTCCAGGTCTGAAACCCATATGTACTGATTGGTAGATTAGTGCTTCAGTCATTAGAGGCCCATTCCTTACACTTGTGTGCCCAGTTAATCACAGCCCATCAACTACCCTTTCCAAGTCTGCAAAAGGACTATGGCCCCTTAAAATATATCACATCTTAATTTCTTTTAGATAAGCAGATACAATTTCCCAGACAGCCCAAGTTAGAAATTTCCACAGAAACTACTGACAACATTGAAGTGTCAGCTTCAATATCAACCTTTCATATCAAATAGAACTGCTCTGATTGTCAGGTGTTTTTTCGTTACAGGGCTGCCTGTTAATTGCCAATTTGTGTCGATGCTAATGAGAGTCATATATCTTATTTTTCTATTAATTCTCATGACATTCTGGAGTGGCATGAATGGCAAAATTCTGTCCTCATTTGAAGAAGGTGGCAAAAATTATATCTTTGTGTAAAAATAGTTCAAGTTTTTGAAGTGCTCTGGATAAAAAATAAAATAATGTCCCAGTGCTTTGGCCAGAATAGTTGAAAGTCCTCACTAATGGATAATACATGATCTTAAAACAGAATAATGGAGAGTAAATTTCAATAAGGAAGCTGGGAAAAGATCATTTAAGCTGAAGAAGTGAACAACAAATTTAGATATTTTAATGAAGGGAAGAAAAATGCAGGTGTATAATCAAAGGATAAAGGAGAACTGAGATGGAAGATGAAGAAAAAAATGAAACATGGTTACTGTAGTTAATAACAATGTATTGGCCGGCACCGCTGCTCACCAGGCTAATCCTCGGCCTGCAGTGCCGGCATCCTGGGTTCTAGTCCTGGGTGGGGCACCAGTTCTGTCCTGGTTGCTCCTCTTCCAGTCCAGCCCTCTGCTGTGGCCTGGGAGTGCAGTGGAGGATGGCCCAAGTCCCTGGGCCCTGCACCTGCATGGGAGACCAGGAGGAAGCACCTGGCTCGTGGCTTCAGAACAGTGCAGCGCCAGCTGTAGCAGCCAATTGGGGGGTGAACCAATGGAAGGAAGACGTTTCTCTCTCTCTCTCTCTCTCTCTCTAACTCTGCCTGTCAAAAAAAAAAACCCTCATATTCATGAATTTCAAATTATCTTGCACCAAAATAAACTTACCATTGAATTCCATTCACCTCAGACTTTTCAAAATATCTATTGTGAATAATAAATGGATATATAATGTATATATTTTAATTTTTATTTTAATTGAAATCTATTTTTATGTTTTCAAATAAATAAATAAGAAACATAAAATGAGACTGTTGATGGATTTTAAGCATGGAGATCTTTTTCTGTTTGTGTTGGTTTTAAGAGATCACTTATCAGCTGGCGCCGCAGCTCAATAGGCTAATCCTCCACCTGCGGTGCTGGCACTCCAGGTTCTAGTCCCGGTCAGGGCGCTGGATTCTGTCCCAGTTGTTCCTCTTCCAGTCCAGCTCTCTGCTGTGGCCCAGGAGTGCAGTGGAGGATGGCCCAAATCCTTGGGCCCTGCACCCACATGGGAGACCAGGAGAAGCACCTGGCTCCTGGCTTCAGATCAGCACAGTGCGCCAGCCACACCACACTGGCCGTAGTGGCCACTGAGGGATGAACCAATGGAAAAAAGGAAGAAAAAGAAAAAAAAAAGAGATCACTTATCTTTTAGACACTGGACTATAGGATCCAGTTTGGAGACTAATCTCTTTGGGTGCACCAACAACGACCTATCTGTTTTTTTCTAGTGGAGATTTGAATTTTGACCTCCAACTTTTTCCTACTTATTTGTTGATTGATTGTTGCCATAAAAAACACTGGAAGGAACATCATATGAAGATGTCTGTGTCTGTTCCTGGCAGACCAACTCTTGTAGCAGTGCAGTGTGTTATGCACATATTGCATATACACATTGTCAAACATGTTCAATTTGAACCCATAAAGACTTGTATTCCTGTTTCAAGGATATTCAAGAAAATAGTCAAAGGCAACCCAAGAGAATTCAGACAAAAAGTAGAGAATGAGGTGGGCTTTGGGAGAGCTGGCCTTTGTCTCCAACACATCATGAACTGTTAATGGGAATGAGCAAGACTAAATGACTGAAAGGTCAAAGAGAGAATCCAGTCAGTTTCCCTGCATTGTCCCCTGGATGTGTCTGACACAGGAAAAATTGAAGTAATCATTGCTTATTAAAGGGAATGGAAATGCATTGCTGAACAAAAATATTATTAAATCCGGTAACTATTGTACACATAGAATGTTGACATATTGGAAAAAGGCAATATTATATTTTCTTTTTTTAAAGATTATTTATTTGAAAGTCAAAGCAGAGAGGCAGAGGCAGAGAGAGAGAAGGAGAGGGAGAGAAATGGGAAGAGAGAGAGAGACAGAGACAGAGAGACAAAGACAGATACAGAGAGACAGAAAAACAAGAGAGAGGTTTTCCATCTTCTGGTTCATTCCCCATATGTCCGCAACAACCAGAGCTGGGCTGATATGAAGCCAGGAGCCAGGAGCTTCTTCTGGGTATCCTATGCAGGTGCCCCAACCCAAGGATTTGGGTAATCTCCCACTGATTTCCTAGGCCTTAGCAGAGAGCTGGATCAGAAGTAGAGTAGTCAGAACCTGAACCAGCACCCACATAGGATGCTGGCACTACAGGCAGCAAGTTTACCTGCAATGCAACAGCACCAACCCTACATGATGGGATCTGGGATGATATGATAAGCCTATTAAATTTCATAGAAAATATATATTATGGAAAAGCCATGCATGGATGTAAATATATTTCACTTCAAAATCTTATTTTTAATTGAATTCTTGCAAAAGCTTCTTGAAATGCCCTGTACATTATGCTAAGAAATATTTTTAAACCCTATGTTGTTTTTGTATGACTCCATTTTCAATGTGATACTTACTTGCCTTTTCTAAGGCTGTACATTATGACTAAGAAGAATATAAAACTTTGCATCTGCAGTTGTTAAATTTTGGACTTCAAAATCAGAAATGTCATCTATTGGAAGTTAAAGATGTTAATCCTCTAGTCTCTCCTAGATACTTTGCACTGTTTACCTATAAACTTGGGGTATTCAGTTTACTATTTGGATTACTCTGTGCTGGAGATGCATAGCTAACAGCTGGCACTTTCTTGTGAAATTTGGTTCCACTTAAAACAAAACAAAAGAAATACCAGCACTGCTCACAGGCCTGCAATTTATTGTTAAATAAATGTTGTATAAACCTTCAATAAATTTTCAAAACATTAGAAGTTAGTAAGAAGAAAGTGAAAAGCAATAAGACTCAAAGAAATTGCTTAGCAATAGTGCTAATGTCAGAGATGTTACCATTTTAGT